GATGTGATCCTCTGTGTGTGAAAGCTGCTCCAGCTCAGAGTGTCTCCTCTTCAGTTCATCAATCTTTTGCTTCAGTATCTTCATGTGTCTTTCAGCCTGACTCACTGCAGCCTTCTCCTGATCTCTGATCAGCTGTATCAACTCAGAGCGTCTTCTCTCAATGGAGCGGATCATCTCAGTGAAGATCCTCTCGCTGTCCTCCACTGCTGACTGTGCTGAGCTCTGTTGGTGACACAGGGAGCAGAGGAGGGTAAATTACAATTGGCCCTTTTTGACAGGAGGTATAAAAACAGCACAGGGCTGGGGTTTGGAGCGTCACCATGCTGGATGCCTCAGGTACTGAAACCCAGCCAGCACTGATTGGAAATGATCACTCATTAAGCTCATACACTGTCAGCTGCAGGGATTTGGCAGAGACTGGTGGCTGTATGGGGCAGGTTGGTTGTCACCATTGGGTCTTAGTTTAATAGGTGACTTTTTGGTTTATTTTTCCATTACACTGGATTGTGCAAAGTTGCATTTTTCTCAAATGGGCCTTTTATGGTACTTTTCTAAATAAATAAGCTACTACTGCTGCAACACTTGGTTAAACTCTGTTATCTAGCAACTTTGTCCCATTAAATCACTGACACAGAATAACCCACAGCAGCACTAATTTGATTAATACCCACAAGTCTGTTAATCTGCAATCTGAAAGAAGATTCAATATGATCACAAGCCAGCTGTTATCTTCTCTTCAGGTTCATACTCACTGTGATTGAGGCCACAGCCTCTCTCAGCTCCTGCAGCTCCTTCTCTCTCATCTGAATTCTCTGCTGAAATTCTCTCTGTGTTTCCTCCATTTGTTTCTACAGATTGTAAACAAGATGGCAAAACAAGTTTGTTTCATTAGCTGAGATCATATTCATTAATCATCCTGTCCAGGGTGGACCCCAGCCTTGGGCCCTATGCTGCCTGGGAAAGGATCCAGGCGCTCTCTGTGACCCTGACCGGGATTACCGGTTAGGAGATGGATGGATGGTTGGATGGATAGATATTATTAAATGATTTATTGACTGTAGGTAGGATAAACTGACCATTGACCCTTTGTTCCTGTTTCCACCTGGTATTAACATGCGTCCTGGGTGATCCAATCACAAGTGGGCAGCGCTAATTACAGGTGTGAAGGCACCCAGGACACATTGAAGATGCATTGAGATCTGATCACTCAATCCACACTGGGAGGTGGTCTGGGCCGCATATGGCCACATTCTTATAGCAATGTGAAGGCGAATGTGTCCTGGGCTGCATTGCAGGACCGGCTACTCAACTGACGTCCTATTTGATTTATGTCAGATCGCATGTCAGTTGATAATGAGCCACTGTGTAGTAAACTGCACTGTGAACAACAACAATGCATCTTTTCTCCTGTGACACTAAAAACTCTGAATCTGCTGGGAAGTTGGTTTAATATTGGACTGTTGTGACCCATTCATATGGAAACCGTGTCATAGTGTGCATCACTGATGTTCTATGCAAATTCAGAAAAGATCATGTGTAAGATGTGATTTATTAAAGATGTTTCAGAATTTGCACAGATCATATATTTAATGTGCATGTTGGGGCGCGGCCTGGTGCAGGCAGGGAAACAAGGTGACGATCCACTTAAAAGCTCCAAGACAAAGGGATTTAAGTAAACTGAACAAAACTGGAAAGACACTAAATAAAGGAACAACAAGGGGTCAGAACTCACCAGGGAAAAAGTAGCTAAAAAAACGACATGCAGACTAACAGAGGGAATGGGGCAGCTAGTGATGTAAAGCTTGACACCGAAGCTCTGAGGTATGTGACAAAAAAACGATTCACTACATTCTGAAGCACAGCTTGGAGGTTTCCGCCATTCTCCCCTAAACATGTGACCATGGTCATCTGAAGCTTTGTTTTGCACTCAACCATGTGACTGCTTTGGAAACCTCATTACCGGTTTCGAATGTCGGCACACACACACTGCAGCATAAGTTTTAATCATAATAATGATTTAATGATAATTTATCAATAATTAAATCATTTAGAAATACAATGAACACAATAAGAACACAATTATTATTATTAAAGTTCAGTTTATTTGTATGAATACATAATATCAGATATGGGTGAGGGTATTACCCGATAATCTGTTTAATATTCCCAGTATAGAGACCAAGAAGCAAATGATTGATGAGGCTTTGATCGATATGATTGTGAAGGATTCACAACTATTCACCATAGTGGACGATGCTGGATTTAGGGAGTTTGTGGATATCCTGGATCCAAGCTACATTCTCCCATCCAGGCAAACATGAAAGGGTCTGGTGGCAGAAATATTTAAGATAGAAAAAGAGAAAGCAAAGGAAGAGGTGAAAAAGGCCAAAGCAGTAAGTCTAACATCTGACATGTGGACATCCATACGTATCCTCCTGAGACCCCACCCATTCATTTATGTCCATTGTAGTGGACATTTTATTTTTGCATCTATCTTTTCACTAATGTTAGGAAACATATTTATTCTTGTTGTACACTAAAGAGGACATGCTGTGAAATTAAAAATAAAAATAAATTTAAAAACATCTAAATTGTAAGATGTCTTATTTCCTCCAAAGACAAATAACCTAAAATTGAAGGACACTTTTTTCCTTGGGTCTCAGGAGGATATGGAAGCTTATTTAGTCAGACACAGAACCTGCCTTGTACATGCACTGAATTTGGTCGTGAAGAAGGCTATTGATCAGACACAAGGACCCGACGATATCAGATCCAAGGCAAGGCAGCAGATGGGCAGACCCACTCTCAGAATGATTCAAGAAGTGGAAACCAGCTGGAATAGCACCTATTCAATGCTGCAGTGATCACATGATCAAGGAGAGCCAGTTGGTGCTGCATTGGTCACTCTGAAGACAGAGCTCACAGCCCTGACCTCAGAGGAATATCACGTAATTTATGATTGTCTGGGTGTTTTATGACGTTTCAATGAGGCAACTGTTCCACTTTCTGAAGAGAAATCAGGATCCAAGGTAATTCCTCTCATCCACATGCTTAGACATGCTGTGAATCTGAAACTGTCCCAGACACAAAATGTTAAGGCCCAGCAGTTGTGCAAGAACCTCTTGAAGTTGCTCACTGAGAGGTTGTCAGTCTATGAGACCATGAGCATAATGACACTGGCCACACTGCTGGGTCCAAGATATAAAACTGCAGGTTTCTGTAGCCAATCAGGCACCAGAACCAGAGCCTGCAGGAACCTCATCTGGTTCTGCAATGCATACCGGTACTGTTGCAACCTTTCACGTTTTAATGATAATGTTCAATTAAACTGAATTGGGATAAATAATTATTATTGCACAGTACAAAATACACAGTGTATATAATGATTCATGCTTTATCATTTTAGTTTGAGGTCTGTGGGATCTTCTGGACAGTGATGTGGGGGAGAGCAAAAGGGTCAAGGGTTCTACAGCAGATGCTACTGTGGAGGTTCAGCAGTACCTCAGTGACCCAAATATGCTGCGTTCTGAAGACCGTTTGCAGTTCTGGGATATGCAGAAGGCTGTGTATCCACACTTATATGAACTTGCAATACAGTTTCTCTGCACTCCAGCGACCTCTGTTCCCTGTGAGCAGGTATTCTCTAAAGCATTGAATAATTGTGAATAAAAAACGTAACCAACTTAGTCCCCACGCTGTTCAACAAGTACTGTTCCTCAACAAAAATCTGTAGTCCAATACCCCCTCTTGAGTTACACATGCACCACTTCCCAGTTAATTCAAAGGTTGCCCAATCCACAAGACATTGCACAGCCTAACTTAACCAGTACATTAATGTTCCTAAAGCACTACAGACCACTTGAATGTTTGCCTATTTGTATATATCCTGATGCACTACACTCAGTCAAAATGAACTGCTATTTACTTATTTGACCACCTAGTGTCACTAATGTTCACCATTTAGAAAATCATTGAGTACAGAATCATTTTTTGACACACTTGCTTCCAAAAGCTTTGTTTTGCCATCATTATGGGCAACTAAGGGAAGATAACCAGGAAAAGCAACCAGGTCGAAAAACAGGCTGCGACTAAAGACAATGACCTAACATTCCACCACCACCACACAAACAATGAATCAGCAACAAACAGGAGGACAAGCACTTAAATACAACAGACAACCAAACTAACGAAGAGGCAGATGTGACACATAAGACAATTAACCAATAACAACGGCGCAGGGAAAACAGGCAACAGGTGCAGTAACTCATACTAATGAACACAAGACTAGAAAAACTCCAACAATCACGGAAGGTAAGAAACACTAATCACACACTAGGAATTCAACACTTGGAAAATATATAAACCAGTGGAATATAATAAAACAAGGCACAAGCTTCACAAGGAGAACACAGAACTAATAAACACTAGGAAGAGAAGAAAACCAATAATGAAATAGGAAGAGGTGAGGTTGGTTCTTGACCAGCCTCAAACCCATGACCAGCTGGTCCTAGCCTCAGTGCTA